GTAGTAGTAGTAGTAGTAGTAGTAGTAGTAGTAGTAGTAGTAGTAGTAGTAGTAGTAGTAGTAGTAGTAGAGTAGTAGTAGTGGTAACGGTAGCGGTGGCCGTGGTAGTAGGGTAGTGTAAGTGGTGGTAGTCTTAGTGGTGGTACCGGTAATGGTGGTGGTGAAAGTGGTGGTGGTGTACTAGTGGTTCCCGGCCACGCGTTGCTGTGGCTAAGTTTTGCTAAATAGAAAAGCAAGAAAAAAGAAAGCGCACACATCTAATATGGCTAATTTCACAATCAATGTCTGAGCAGATAGTCTTGTGTGCCGACTCTAGAACACGCCAGAAATTAGTTTGTTGTTATATAAGTGGTCGTTTAAAGTGTTTTATTGAGACTTAGAAAAAATATCATTTGTTTATCACATGCTAAAGCTTTTTTGTATTTTTTTAAGAGCTCAACGTAAAATTTACTACTGTGTTAATTTTAAAACAAAACAAAAGAAATCCACCCCCCCCCCCCCCCTCTTCCCACCGCACCCAAAAAAATTTCAGAATAGCTGGGATAGGGTTAATAAAATATAATTAAGTAAAAAATGAAAAATGTAAAATCATGTTTTAAGCTCTGTAAGAAAACAGTTTCTGTCATCACCTTTCTCCTGCCCCCCCCCCCCCCCACCCCCCACTTTTATCCATCGACTCCTCCTCTCTTCCTGTCCAAAGGATTTAGAATTCATCACACAATTCTTCTAACTGACTTTGGCATCCGTGTCCACCCAGGCTAAAATTGGTAACAGAAATTGTAAATAGAAATAAATGCGACCAGTGTTATATGTACCACTTAACCAATCGAGTACCAGTACTACTACCACGACCACCAGCACCACAACAACTAATACAAACTGTCACTAGTGTCTGTCTTACCGCCTGTCTAGGTCGGTGTAGACAGAGGGTGGGGGAGGGGAGATGTGAGCCAGAAAAGTTGCACGGCTGTTCATTAAAATGTTTAATTACGGCTCCGACAAAAACTCTCTAATACTTTACTGGGGGTCGAAGCCGGGTCTCCTGCATGACAGCCCGACGTGGTAACCATGTGTATACAAACCCCAAAGAAAGTTATGTATACTATTTTCCCAAGTAAGTGACTCAGAGGAAGGAATATGTCAGAGTTATATAAACATTGACCTGACATCAGTGTATTGACTATTGACTTGTAACATAGGACATCTTAGATTTAAATAACTAAAAGGTTGACACAACCATGTGGACATCCCATACCCGATAGAGATACTTGACTACAGACTTAGGCAACGAACTTAGACGTCTGTTGTCATTAAGAAATCAATTCAATAGTTAAATCTAATTTTTAAGAGAACGATAACCTATATAATCTAGCGCTGACTTTGCGAAGAGACGACTAAAAACGCGACAAATCACGCAACAGCTAATAATGTAGATAAATTGTCAGTATCTATTATCTGTCGCTATCCCAGATTCAACTCATAAGGACGAAAGCTCCCATTATCTGTCAGGGACCTACTTTACTCTACTTATTTTATATGGGTCGCTAGGTAGGCCAGCTGACAGACTTAACTACCCAGACACACTTAAGACAATACTCCTGCTGAGTACAAACATAATCTTTAATGTACAATGAACAACACGACGTTAAACACTTCAACTGAGCCTAGCAGTTCCTATCCGAAACCTCCTTGGCGATGACAGCTTTACAATCACTAATCAACCCAGGCCAGTTCCCATGGATCTATCCAGAACACGGCTCTTAGCTGACAGTTTCTCAGTGCTAATTAATCCGCCGTCTATTGCCAAACGGGACTCAGCGATACACGTAAGGTGTATGGCCTAAGCGTGACTGGGCAGTGTTACCGCCATTACAATGCGCGTCACACCTTGATTAACTGCTCAAACAAATACTGCATGGAATGTCTACTACACAAAGAACATTAACTCTGTACTATCTAGTCGAAACATTAAATAGAAACACAGCCTATCATCGATACTACATACAAATATCCTATTACAACTAACCGTCACTAAACCTAACGTTACCTAGTCAAAATGTTTCAGTCTTGTCTCGTCCTGTCCCAGCACACGACTCCACTCAACCAGCTCGGACAAAGCCTTGTATATTTCCGGCCTGAGTTCACGGCTTGACACGCAGTAATCTGTGTCACCTGAGTGAACTAGACCATGACCGTTAACTGGAGCCAGTTTATTGCGTGGTCAAGCTGTCCGCTCTCTTACTGAGTTGTACTGATGGTCAACTCGTTCAAACGTGATGATTCACCATCACCCTTCCCATAGCCGAACTGGCCTCTGTCATCCCACAGATTTCTGAGGTCAATGGTTAATTTTCGGGAACGCGGCAACAAAAGAATAATCAGATCGTCAGAAAACAAAACCAAGATGCCAATGTGATCATCACTGGAACTATGTAGTTTGCGCTTTGTGCGACACTCTTATACAAAAACACTCTCGTAGTCTAATGCAACGTTACGTCAAAATTAGCGTAACATAAAAAGATTAATAAAAATGAAAAATGTCTTACTTAAATCGTTTCGTCCTTTTTAGGATGAAATTTTTTGTTATTTGAAGCCCCACCCTGACTTTTGTTAGGGGCCACAATATAGGCAGGCCATAAATATGGCCAAATGTCTGAACGCGGTTTCTGGGACCTCTCCACGGTGACCCTCATCCGCATGGTGGCGCTTTGTGTCATCGGGTGTTTGTCGCTTGTGTGATGTCCTAGTGGGGTAGAAAAGTCAGTCAGTCAGTCATGAAAACTGTCAAATCATGTTTTAAGCCTTTCTAGCTCCTAATGTAGCATAGGCCCTCAACCAACTAATGCCAAGTCTATCATTTGCTATCGCATGCAGCTCTCCCCATGTCCTACCCATCTTTCTAACTTCATTCTCCAGCTTCCTTCTCCATGTGTTGTTTGGCTTTCCTTTATTCCTATGCCCATGTGGGTTCAAATGCAAAGACATTCTAGTTATATTGTTCTCCTGTTTGCTCAATGTGTGTGCTATCTAAAGCCAGCGTGTTTTCTTCACCTCTTGGTCCACTGGAGCTTGCTTAGTTATCTCCCAAAGCTCTACATTAGTGATTCTAACATAACCTTCAATTCCCTCTATTCTGCGCAGGCACCAGTTAATGCATGTCTGTAGTTTAACAGTAATTGCCTTAGTTGTTCTCGGTGTTTCCGACCCACACAAAAGTACTGATTCCACATTAAATTAAAAATTGTAAATTCAGTATTTCATTTAATTTCTTTTGACCTCCACAAATGCCCTAGTGCTATGAAAGCTCCTCTTGCCTTTTGTATTTTTGATTGAATATCTCTATGAGTTCCTGCATCTTTATCTACAACAGTGCCTAAATAGGTGTACGACACCACGTCTTGGAGTGGGGTCCAATTACACCACGTCTTGGAGTGCGGTCCAATTAAGAGAAACCACATTACTATTTGCCTGATTTACTATCATTATCTTTGTTTTTCCTTATGGATTTTCAGACCTAGCTGCTATGATCTCGTATCAAGTATATTTAATTTATCTTGCATCTGACTTTGTGAATGTGACAGAAGAGAAATATCATCAGCGAAGTTCAGATTATCAAGCTGTTTTGTAGGGGTCTACTGAATTCCATTTCTGGTGTTAGCAGTTACTGTCTTCATAATCCAGTCTATAGTCAGTAAAAATTGGACAGGCGACAAAAGAAATCCCTGTGGCACATCTGTGGCACAACTGTCGCACACCTGTGTTTACAATTATATTTTTATTTATATAAATTTACATAGATAGTATCCAATTTAACCCTGATGCCATAATTGGGACATAACAAGGTAATCCCCCCCCCCCTTTTTTTTTTACACACACACACACACACACACACACACACAAATAGAAAGTATTTTTTTAACAAACAAACAAACAAATACTTTAATATTTCAACTATGCAAAAGCTAAAATCTCACGAAACTTTAGTTTCACCACTCTAAGGAGACCAGTCTAACTAAACTTTACTGTTTCGACTGTGTAAGAAACCGAGGTCTAACTAAACTTTGTTGTTTAAATGAGGTAAGGAACCCAAGCCTTTCTAAACTTCATTGTTTCAACAGTTTTAGGAACCGAAGTCTATTTAAACTGTATTGTTTCAACAGTTTAAGGAACCGAAGTCTACATAAACTGTATTGTTTCACAGTGTAAGGAACCGAAGTCTATATAAACTGTATTGTTTCAACGAGGTAAGGAGCCGCAGACTAACTACACTTTTTTGTTTCAATGTGATAAGACAGTAAAGTGAAACTAAAACTGTGTTGTTTCAACAATGCAAGGAAGCCAAATCTAACTAAACAATGTTGTTTCAACCCTGTAAGAAAGCAGGATCTAATCAAACATTGTTGTTTCAGCTGTGTAAGAGGCCGAAGTCTAATAATACTTTATTGTTTTGATGAGGTACGAAACCAAAGTCTTAACTATTTGTTATACTTTTAATAGTTTGAGGAATCACAGTCTAACTTAACTTTGTTTTTTCAACGGTGTGAGAAATCAAAGTCTAACTAAACTTTATTGTTTCAACGGTATAAGGAACCGATTCAGACTAAACCTTATTGTTATCTTAACTTTATTGTTTTAACTGTGTAAGAAAACAAAGTCTAACTAAACTCAATTGTTTCCACGGTGTAAAAAATTAAAAAAAAAATCTAAATAAACTTTATTGTTTTAACGGTTTTAGGAACTAGTTCAAACCAAACGTTTTAGTTTCAATGAGGTGCGGAACCAAGTTAAACTAAACCTTATTGTTTTAACAAGGTAAGAAATCAAAGTCTAACTAAAATTTATTGTTTCATTGGTGTAAAAAAAAATCTAACTAAACTTTGGAAGAGTTATGAAATTAATCGTAAACCAGAAGAGAGCTTCCAAAACACAAATTGGAAAGAATACAATCTAAACTGGAACAATTAAAGCCTCGTTCGTGTGTTACCGTAAAGTGTGTGTATTCACATTGTCTTCTCGCAGACAGAATGGAATTTCTTGTAACACGCGTCGTCGTTCAGCTTATACGGTTTGGGAGGCTGCATGCTGATACAGTCTTCTGCTCTTCCATAATCATTGGGCTCGCCAGGTAGAAACATGTCGGTGGTGTTGCCGTCGAACAGCTGCCCGTCGCTCCAGACGTAGACACCTTTAGTGACCATGTCGTCTAGGCCAACCCACAGACCGCCCCGGAAGACGGTCTGCAGGAGATGAAACCGGTCTATGTCCTTAACCGTGAAAAGACGAGACTCCATGGAGGCACACAT